ATTTGCATTTCATTTGCACTATAAATCCCTGGAGATTTTTTTGTTAATTTAATTTTAATCATTAAAAATTTCAATACAATAAAAATAAATAAAAATCATTATTCATAAAAATGAATTGAAATATTTAACTACTTAATTAATTTATCAAAAAAATGTTGAAAATATATAATTGTATTAATAATTAGTATTAATCAGGCCAGTATGTGCACACATTACAAAAATTAAGTTTTATTAATGTGTGTTGGTTATATTTTGTATTATATTATATGGATGTATAACGTTTTATGATTTGAGAAATATTTCTATTTCTTGATATTACATTTATATTATATTATTTGAATTTTGAGAGAAAGTAATAATTTCAGGGGAAAAGTCGTTTTAAGTCATAAATAAACTATTTTTATTTTTATGCACAAAAGTTTCTTTAGCAAAAAGATTTTTTATTAAATTGAAGGACAGGTAGTTTCAATGCACTGGTCGTTTACAGTTTACATTATTTAGCAATTGTTTTCTAAAATATTGCTATATTTTGAATGTCGTCAATGAATTGATTTTTTGTCTGGGCAATCAGTGAATAGTTTTATAAATTATTTTTGTACTAATCATATTTGAATAATATTAATGTAATAAAAAATAATAAAAGTTTAAAAATAGATTTAATATTTAGTCATATTCTTTAAATTAAAATAACTGTATTGCATAAATGTTATTTCAAAATTATTATTATTTAATTTTATTACAATTAGGCATTAATTTATATTATTACATTATGATGAAGGATATTAAAATTTATTCTCCCAAACATGTTATTTATTAAAGTTATTACCAAAATAATTGCAGTAGATGTGTGAAATGTTAATTTTTTCATTAATTATACAAATCAATAGATGTGTTGATTTGAAAGAGTGAAAAACAATACAATTTTACGGTATATCAGTCACGCATTCAGGAGTCTGAAAGGGAGGGCTCATACAAACAATCTTATTGGTCTCTCTGGAAAATTTTAGTACTTAGATACTATTAGTTGGAAAAATTAATAAATACACATTAAAATCAATTTAAAGTGTATTTTTATGGAAATAAACTTGTATCTATTTATAATCTTAAACAATATTACAAAATTTACAAATACACACTATTTATGAAATATTAAAAGTCAAAGCATAACAATAAAATAACAATTCAAATTCAAACAATGCGTTAATATTAAATAGGTTTTATTGTATTTATACTACAAATTTTTCTTTATTGTAATTAACTTAACTTATAGTACAAAAATTATTATATAGAATCGTAAAATAAAACAAAAAAAATACTTGAATAGCATTCAAAACTTGCTATTTCGCGATTAAAACAAGTATTCAAAATAGTATTGACAGTTGTATTGCTGATAGTGAATGCCATAACCAGATTCAGGGGACAGGTATTCGCTACAACTTTAGTCATACGAAGGATACCTAACCAATTATTACAGGTATAAGCTATTGATTACTAATAAAACTTATACACTGTTTTAAATGTAAAAAATTTTGCAATCAAATTCTTAATATATAATATAAAAATATTTTTATCATTATTCAAGGGATGCACACTTAAGAAAGTATTTGTATGTAATTTGAGGTAAAGTGTGCCGGCTATCATTATGGACACTGTAATTCAGACCAACCTAACGGTGACCACAATGGGTCACTGTGTCAAAGACACATCAGTCCAAGTGATTAAAGACTTTTTGTCACTTTTCTATATTATGTCTCCCTATGAGACCTCTTATGATAACGCCATCGATGTTCCCGATTATGAAGTCAATGTAAGTCCAAATATTTTGTTTTGGTATCTTATAGTTTATTAGTAGTGTAAACTATTTTATTATTTAACATAATATTAAATTTAATTATCAAAATTCATCAAGAATATTTCTTAAAGTTCAATATCATTATAAATATAAATCAATTTTGTTAAATTTTATTAACCAAATAATAATATGTGTCTCTATAAATAAACTGAATTTGAATAGGAAATAGTTTTATTAGTTTATACTAACTTATATTAATTATAATTATAATTTATTTTATATTTCTATAAAAATATTTATTTTATATCAATTTATTTACTGTTCATTATATTCTATTACGGCATTAAGGGTATATACAAAAAAATAAAGTTTTAATAATTTATTTCAAACAAATTAGATTATTAATTAATTATATTTAAAGAGTATAAGAATTAATTTAATAAATTTAGAATTTTATATTATATAAAACCATAATTATTATAAAAATAGTTAAATATATCATATATGAATATTTTCTCCAATAAATCCTTGACAATATACTAAATAAGCCCTAGGCAATAAAATGTCATTTGAATTTGCAAATCAATTAAATCCCCGGGTTTCTTCAGGTTTGCAATAATATGTTTTGCAATCCAAATCATGAATACAGTAGTCTATTCGAGCCTACTAGAATATTAACATTCTGATATCTAAATTACTATAATTATATTAATATAAAGTCAGTTATCGGGGTTATTCATTTATTAATGACATTCTCTATATACAAGTTCCAAGATACTTTATTATCAAAGAATTATACAATATTCTTAATGCACCAATTTGAGTTCAAAAGTAATAAAAAGACTGATAATTTTAACTGATATTTTTTAATATAAAAATAATAACTATGATTAAACTATCATTATGAAACATACAATTTAGATGAAATTACATTAACTTGTAAGAAGAATTGAGTTATATAAATATAAAAATGATACATTGCAAGTTATTTAATTGGTTTTCCTATAAATAAAATTATTTCTATAGTATTTTAATGAATTATTAAATTAATCTATAAAAGACCAAAAACTCTTGCATAATATGTATATTGTACATTGAATATTTATATTAATTACCAAAATAAAATTTACAAATAAAATGTTTAACTCAAATAAAGTTGACACCTGTGGTGGGGTTTCTGGTAATCCTGGAACAAGTGATCCGATATTTCCAACGCCAAGACTTGACGCGTTTCCAGGATTATGTCATTAATGCCGGATCAGCCATACTATTCACTCTCATGAGGTATATTATATACAATTTATTTAAAAATCTTTATTTAGGATTTAAATCTGTAAATAATTTTTTATATAATAATAACTAGGGTATTCTTGTTGACCACGTCGGTGCACTGTTTCAACTGGATATTTACCAATTATGCACTGCTTGATTTGCCATTGCACTCTATATGGACCTGGCTATTTTCGCTATTGGT